AATGATGACTGAAAGGAGGGTGGCAGGCAGAACAAGAAGACTTTTCAGAAACAGGGACCCTGATTATCACATCGGTGCTGCAGCCCGGCGAGAGGCTGCTGAGAGGCGGTGTGAGGCCGTTCTTGGAAAGCCGTCAGTGGAGTGTTTGTAACCTCCTTAAGAGAATTCCATTTCTCAAAAACGCAACGCTGGAAAATCTCACATGATTCGTTCGGATAAACACTCTGTCATCAAATCACACTGGAAGTCATGCAAACCCTATCTTTCTGAAGAGAGTCTTTTTGAGTGTCATGAGTCCAGTCTCCAAGACTTAGACAAGGAGAAAAAAAACAAAAGAGAGTTTCTCAGGTTATTTTGGGACCTTTACTTTTAGTTTGAAAGGTCAACTGGTGCTTTAAACAAAATAATCAAGAACTGCCATGCCTACGAACAGTCTGCACCTTTTGAAAAGGTCTGCTTTCGCATTGAATAGCCAACGCCGGCCCCCACCCCTTTTGCTTTTTCTCTTTAGGGCTTAGAAACGGAGAGGGAGGAGGAGGAAGAGTTTCACATTCATTACTAACAACTTCGCACATAATAAGCATGTTCAGATACACCCTGGGGTGTTAGTTTTCTTTTCCTATTTTTTTTTGTCTCCTTTTTAGCAGCTTTCGATAAGTAGCACATTTTATTTTTTGAGAAAAGAATCGGAGCGGGTATTGAGCGGCCGCACCCTAAGGAAGGTCAGGAGATTAGGGAGCGGAAGTAGGCTGGCCAGACTCCGCTGACCACAGTAAGGGACTGCCGCTTTCTTCCCATAATTTAATTTCAAGGCTCCAATGAAAAGGTACCTCTAAAAAAAATTGCTGAAAAAAAAAGTGAAAAATTGTTAGAAAATGGTCATCAAAAAGTGATCAATTTAAATTTATGTCTTACAAACAAACCACACGGAACTAACCACAGGGCAGACATGCATTTGCGATGATATATGGACAGGCTCAAAATACGGGCATGATTTTGCAGGAGAGAACGAACATTAGTAGCTTCTCACGTTGGTGGGCTTTGGCCTAATTTCATGAGTATTCTGAAATTCTAAATATTGCACTTCACAAATCAGGGAACAGTAAAATAAAAGGAACCTTTGAATTTAACTGACCCAACTCCCTCATTTTGGAAGCGGGAGAACAGAGGCCTCGTGACAGTAACTTGCCCAGGGTCACACAGCTGGGGAGGAGCCTCGCGAGGACTCAAGCTCCAACTGCCCCTCTCCCCGGCGAACTGGGGTCGTTTCCGCTGAGCTACAGAACTCCGAGACGAGAAACCACAAAGCCGCACGTCTCCCCCAGGAGCCCCTTTCCAAGGAAACTGCACCCGTTCCCCTGCAACCGGTCCCGCACGTTGCCCAAGGTGGTTCATCTGTCACACCTGGAATGACCTCTTTAGCTGCTACTAAGTGGCTTCTTCCAAACAGATTAGGTACATTCACAGGTCTCCAAGGACCCAATCTCCTGCTCTTTCCTCTGTCTTCAAAAGGTGTGCAGACGATGCCATGAATGCCCAGATGGTCTCTATGTCTGGGTCACCTACCATCATGCAGATTCAAATTTTACAAGTCAGCTCCTTTCTCACTCACTCTCATTTCCTCCCCTGCCCGCTCACCTGTACCACTGACTGCCTCCCTTGTTCGACTCCTGATTCACACTCCACAGGCCCTCCCCATCAGGGTCTTCCTGCTTCCAGGTTCTCCCCACTCCAGTCCATGGTCCACAGTGGTGAGGCCAGAGGGATCTTAATCAGCTCTGCTGACATTCTCCTGCTCAAGTCCCCATCACCTACAGAATAAAGTCCAAACTCTTTAACCTAACATTTGAGCACTCCCCAGTCCAACCCTTGCCTACTTTTGGAATCTAAATCCCAATAGATGCCCCCTCACCGCTTGCCAAATATTCCAAGAACTCTCTTCCTTCAACCCCTAGAGGTCTTCCTTCCTCCACACCCAGTTCAAATGCAACCGGCCATGTGAATCTTTCCTGACCATCCCAGAAGGAAGTAATAATTCTTTTGTCCTCCCTCAGCACGTTGCTCATACTTTTTTATGGCACGTTATTTAATTCTGCCCTGTATTATAAGCTGCGCCTCTTTCACTACACAGCTCTCTTTTGTCTTTGAAAAGATGCCTGGTTCGTCTTTGTGCCCCCTCCTCACCACTGTGCGTCATCAAATGCTTTGCATATAGTAAAGTGCTTTTCTTTCTTAATATTTACTGAGCACTTACTACCTGCAAGATACAAACTGTAAGGGCAGGAGGAGGAAGATGCAAAATAATTAAAATGCAATCCTTCTCTTCCAAAGAGCTTTAATCAGTGAGGCATGTTCACCAATAACCCAAGCAAGTGAACTAAGTGTGGGGGTGGAACTGGGTGGAGCGCAAGCGCTGAGTATGGAACAAACATTCTCAGTGTTCCCAACCAGAGCGCTGGTGTTATGATGTGGAGGGTGGGGCGCTGGGGGAGGAGCGGAGGGAAAGAAAAGGCAAGGCTGCTGTTAAATCCTGTCTCTGCGCTGTGGTCATTATTAAGAGTCCTGTCTAGGTCTGGCCGATCCAAACCACCTTTCCCTTAATACCAGAGTAATCTTCCTAAAGCAAGACTCGTTCAGGTCTTGCTTTTAACTCCCTGTTCAAATGTTTGCTGTTGAAGGAATCAAGCATCCGATAATAGCAGGCTTATGCTAGGAATTATGGAGAATATCGGTTTATAGAGATGAGACAAACTCCAGGAAGCAGCTGGAGAACAAAAAGCAAGAACACGCTGTCAGAGTGCTGGGAGGAGGGGACCAGAACTGTGTCATCCATGTGGTTCATCAAGAAGGAATAAGGAGACAAGCAAGCCTTCAATGCATGGCGACTTGGCAAGAAAAATCAGATGTACTAAGTGAACTTTAGGGTCCCTTTCAATTCTCAGATTCCATTTAGTCTTTGAGATGGTTTATTCGTTCATTCAATAAATACACGCTAAGCACTTCAATAAAACATTTGTTAAATATTTATTGAATGCCTTCTATGTGCCAGGAACTCTGCGAGGCACTGGGAATAGAGCAGCTGAAGAAGAGACGTTGCATGTAAATTCTTACACTATAACTCGGGTGACTGATGCTGAACAAGTGAGTGCGGCAAAGCAATGGCGGAAGGGTCCAAGGTGCTCCGGGGCCACAAAGCAGGGAGCCCCGCAGCCCAAAGACTAGAAAGACATCCCCAAGAGGTGATGTTTAAGCCAAGACTCCAAGGCACACGTGGCAAACACAGGGCCTGCAGGCCAAATCCAGCCCTCCACCTTATTTTATCCAGCCTACCACCGTGTTTCTACCCGGCAGCAGCACCTAGCTCCATGCCTCTAGTTAAGGAGTAGTTACATTTATACAGTCCTAAAATTACTTTTGTCCCTTTGAAGGCAACTATGAGGCTGATGTGGCCCCCAGTGAAAATGAGTTTGACACCCCTGCTCCAAAGCTACACATGAGTTAGACAAAAGGGACTGGGCATTTAAGCAGAAGAATCTCATATGCAGAATTCCAGAGTCAAGAGGGTACGGCCCGTCCAAGGGATTGAAAGACATTCAAAAAGACAGCATGGAGGGTAGGTAAGGAGGTGGCAAGAAATTAGGCAACAGGTACATGGAGCCAGATTGTGCAGAATCTTGCTAAAGTATGTCAAAGACTTTGTGTCTCATCAATAGGCTTTTGGTAACATGAAAGTATCTGGCACAGTGTATCTAACCTAGTAAGTGCTTTAATACATGTCTGTGGGACAGTGGAGTGACAGAAGCATGGGTGAATGAGCGGATACGCTTTGCACGGGATGAGGGTTTCTGAAATGAATTGCCCCAGGAAGCAATGCCCCTATTATGGGACGCAGAGCCCCCTTAGGTTTGCATGTTGGTCATGTGACACAGCCCTGGACCTTGGAAAAGTTACTGAGTCACCTGGCTTACCCCAGCAGGTGGCATTTGAGTAAATCTGCATTAAAGTCTAAGTTTTTCTGCAGATAAGGATAAAGTTTTACCTGGCAATCATTTAGGCTAAAGCTGAGAAAGTGTAGCCTGACTCCTCCTTAATCCTTGATGAAAAACAGTCTTCTGAACCTCAAGAGCATGAATATTCCCAAATTAGATTATTTGGAGCAAAGCTTCCCTGGACAAATGAGTCCAAGGAGAGAAAGAGAGAGGAAAAAAAAATACATATTCCAGAGAGCTATTTTGCCCTTCGAACAAGAAAGAAAAAGTCGGACAATTGTGAAAAGCTGAACGGAGCTCCTCCTCTGAGTCCAGGTTTCACGAGTCACTCACTGAGCCTTACCTCCGACCCCACCTCCAGCACCACACTCGTCAGGGACCAGCGAGCTGCCAGGTGAGGCGGCGTCTCTAGAAAGGGGGAGATTTTCAGGAATACAGGATGCCATTCCCAGGATTCTAATTAATTACCCGGACAAAGATGAACACTCTACCCTCATGCTTACAAGCAAGAGACTTTCTCGTGATTTGCTACAGTCATTCAAAATTGGGGAGTTGATTCGGCTCCAGGTATAAATAACTAGACCAGAGTCAGTGCCTAGTAGGAGGGTCCAGAATTATTTCTGAAGTCGTCCCAGCAGCTAAGCTTTCATTTGGCAGAGAAAGACAATCTGAATAAAGCTTTAGAAATATTCTTAAAGCTGTTGCTAGGGCTGTATCGCTCTGTGTGCAGAGGGGGTGGTGTGGTATTCATTTGTGCGCTCAATCAGCAATGTCTCCCTAACACAACAAGCAGCCTGTGAAGGTCAATTGCCATTTTATTTCAGAGAGAAACACGGAAAATGCCTACATAAGCGGTTTTCTAGGAAATCCGTTCTGTGTGTCTTTTTAGTCCTGTAAAGCCTAGCGCTGTGAAAGGGGCCAGGTGCACCCAAACGTGGCTCACGTGGAGGAGGTGCTGGAATCTTCCTCCTAAGAGGGAGCCTCGGGGTGCCAAGTCCCAGGTCTGCAGATCTTGCTCCGACAAAGTCGTAGCAGGTTGAGCGCCCCCACTGGATTGGGAGCTTTCTTAAGGTGTCTCTTGCTCCTGCTGGGAGCCTGACAAGGACTGCACAGGTGCCCTGAGGTGAGAGTGCGGCTGCCACCTGTGTGCTTCTAGTCCCGGGCAGCTGTGGGAGTAAGGGGGTGGTGAGTGGCCCCGGACAGCTGTAGATCATTTGCAGTCACAGATTGCCGGGTGGGCTCTTGGATGCCAGACGGTGTTTCTTTCCTGCGGCTGATGCAGTGCAAAGCTAGCCGGCTGCCTTGCTGCCCCTCTCCTCCTCCGTGAGTGACAGCCTGTTCCAATTCAGTCTTGTCTGCTGTGAGGCTCCTCGTCCCTGCATTCTGTTTCTAATGGACCTCACAGATACAGTGGGCTAAAGGCAGGCTGAAGGCATGGCATCCTTTTACTACATGCACGAGAGCCTGGGAAATCACGCCTTCCCAGGACTGCAGTCCCAAAATACATTTAGTTTCTGAGCCCAGCTGTCTCCCTCTTCCCTTCTCTCCCTGTGCATCATTTGCTCTTTTATTTTGTGTTAAGAGTAGCTTAGTGATCATGGACTTCAGCTCTTGCCTGTAGTGATCCTGTTCGCATTTTATTCCTTACACAGAATAGGAAGGAGGTTCGCTTGCTTTGCGCAGAGGCTGAGCCACCGGAGAAAGCAAAGCCAATGTGATTTATTGAATGAAAGCACTGGACAACTACCAACAACCTGTTCCTCTGCTGCCTCAAACAGCCGAAACTGGTAAGTCAGATTTGTCATTGTCTTTCTTCACATGAATGCTGGGCTTTCTTAGTCACTGATTATTTTTCAAATGTGTATGTGTTGCTGTGGTTTAAAGAATATTAAAATTCTGCATCTCCCAAACTTAGCTGCAGGTGGTCTGTGGAGAATGCATACAAGCACACACAGTCCTGGGCCCACAACACCACACACGGCCCTGTGGGGGGGCAGATTGGGGGTGGGGAAGCCCCGTTTCTGATCACTGAGCTTTTTGTTTGCAGCAAGCTTAAGGACATTGTGTGCTTGCATAACTGATTAGTGTTAGCTATGAAAAAGCAATTATTCTTTTGTCGTATGAGATTTTTCTAATCTGGTTCCCAGGTACCTACAAAATACCTGTTGGATCAGGTAAAGATGGGTCCCATCATGCTACTAATCCTGAATACAAGCTCAGATATATTGCTGCCTTTAATCCAGTCTGTAGCTTGGCTATGCAGAGTAGAAGGCAGCCTTCTGTCCATCCTGGGTCAACGTGCCCATAAATGACATGGCTGTGATGCTGAGGATGCCTGCCAGGGGAACACAGTGAACATGCTGCTTGCAAGCCCTAGCTCGACTCACTGTCACTTTTGTACCCATGTTCCTTAAATCCTTTCTCTATTCCATGGTTGCTAGTGTGCACAAGGTTAGAAGGGGGATGTTCTAAGTGTCCTGTTGCTGTGCTGGTCACTAGCCCAGCCAGGGATGCTAAAAGTAGCACTGGTAATCAAGGCTGTTGTTTCCTATGTTGGGCCCCCAGAGTCCCCATTCTCATTTGACTTCTTCCTTTCCTAAATCAGATGGAAGCCCACCTCCATAGGAGGGGAAAGTGAAGGGAGAAAGCTACTGCTTTTGCTACCACCACCACTACGTCACCTTGGTCTCGTTTGCCTGGTTACTGCAAGACTTGGTGGTGCATCAGTCCATCTCCGGTGGGCGCAGAGTCCATATACATGTCGTGCGTAGTTTCATGTCTTTGGTGCGCTCCATCTGCAGTGTGTCACTGGCCATTCAGATGAAGCTGTGGCCTTGGGTGCTGACAAAGATGGATGATGCTGGAACAGTGAGCAGCATGCTTCTCTAAATAAAAAACAAAGTTGGGACATCTGAGAGATGGGTGACATTCTTGCCTAGTAGAAAGTATCCCCAGACCACTCAATCAAAAGAGCAGGGGCATTCTCCCAGGAATTGACATTGGAACAGGAAGAAGACAGGATTGCCCAGTGGTTAGAGATGTCAGCATAGCAGTACACTTTTGCCGTGTCTTTGGGAAAGACTAAGCCTGTGTCTTTGGGAAATTGCCCTATGGCCCCATCCCCAGTCCTCCATTCCTCCCATTCCTAATTGTTTCAAAGACGACATGCTAAACTCAATGTGTCCATGAGATACATCTTGTTAAAGGGCCCAACAGGTAATCAAGACCATTGTTCACACGAGTCAATCCAGAGACCACACGTTAGAAACCCACAGACACATGTGTACGTGGGGACACACAGCACTCTGAAGGACGCATGACCATACTTGAGGGATGTGGGGGGCAGTATAGGGACAGAGCTGGAAAATAGAAATAGGTCGTGTAAATAACTTTTCAGTACTGATCAGTAATAACTGATTTTCTATCCTCCTGAGCCAAGATATGGAAATTCTAAGTGTTTTGAAACAAACATGCAAATATCTGGGGGCAGTCAGTTCAAGAATGAGCAGAATTCACGTATGGAACTTACAACTACTTTGAGTTGTTCAAATTACCCCCATACCCAAGTACATGGAATTAGCAGATACAAACGTACTATGATTTGAAGAATTCTAGATGGCTCATTTGCTTAAAAAAACATTGTCCCATCTCTAAGATTAAGGTACTTGAAATTCTTTCATCAGGAATTCAGTTAACTATTGCTGTCTTTTATAAAGTACAAATACTCAGGCGAAAGAATAATTAAGCCACTGACGCCTTACCATAAATGAATACATTAAAACCCAAAGGATGTTGCATTAATATTACATTAATTCTATTGCTTTTGATTTATTTCATACCTTTCTCCAAGAACTGCCCTTATAATTATTATTTCACTCTGAATCAGGAAACGAAGTGGCCTCTAGGACGAGCTATTTCCTTCTGTTTCCGGAATGCTTGGGTTAGACAGTAGCCTCCAGACTTCCCTCAGGCCCTTGGGAGTCAAGGTGGGGAAAGCTGAACACACTCTCCCCCCTTCTCCCCGTCTCCCCTCTTCCTCCCGAATTCCCTTTTTTTCCTTCAGTTATTGGTGAACACTATGCACCTGTCAACCAAGCAAAGCTCACAGAAGTTATCCTCAGGTTTCCCGATTCCTTTAGCTGCACCTCTGCCCCATCTGATCACTAGCACAATTTGGTCCTTTTTACTTCTTTTATTTTTTAAATCTGTCCAGCCCTCTCTATCCCTATGTCATATACTGTAGTTGGAGTCACAGGGACTTTTTCAAGAGTGTCACGCTTGGTTATGCCCTGTCGCTGGTTCCAACCCACCCACCTCCCCTTCAAACCAGCTTCGCGATGCTACCAGAGTAATTCTCAAGGAATGAGGAGCTCGGATTTTCCTTAAAGTTCTCTGGTGCTTCTGTTTTGTGAACCGGTGGAAGCCTGTACCCACCATGGCATATAAAGCCCCTGGTGGCCTGGCCCCGCTACCTCTCCAGGCCCTTTCCCAGGGTGCTGGAACGGTGGACCCAATGTACCATTTGGTCACAGACCTACCAGCTCCAGAGCAGACTGGACATCTTCATGTCCTAACCTAAGATACTGTATGTACCTGGCTGCCCTTTTCTGTCCTTCCCGCTGGTTGATTCCTCATCCACTGTGCAAAATCCTACCCAGGGGCCACCTTCTCTACACGACCCCACACCCCCTTCTCCCACGACCACTTCTGTGACCCATGAAATTAATCGCTCACCCCTCTGGGCTATTTCTTTGCCTTAGGCATTTTTTTTAGAGATTTTATTTATTTTTTTTAGAGAGGGAAGGGAGGGAGGGAGAGAGAGACAGAGAGAGAGAGAAACATCAATGTGCGGTTGCTGGGGGTTATGGCCTGCAACCCAGGAATGTACCCTGGTTGGGAATCGAACCTGGGACACTTTGGTTCCCAGCCTGCGCTCGATCCACTGATCTACGCCAGCCAGGGCTTGCCTTAGACATTTGAGAGAGTGTTCAGAGGTTAAGATCTCAGAACCAGACCCCTATTTCCTGGGCTTGAATCCCAGATCTGGCCTCCAGCAGGGCCTCACTTTTTGACTATGTAACATACGGACACCAGTAGTTCTTCTGGCTATAATGGGATTCAGTGAGCTGATACAGATAAAGGCTTTATTCTAAATAGTTTCTGGCTCACAGAGAGTGCCATAGAAGTAAAAGCTATTATTATTATTCCATAATTTTATATATCACACTATTTCATAGCTACACTTGAATAGCTGTTTTCCTTTTCAACCTATGAGCTCCTTGGAGCAAGGCAGGGTGATCAACTTGTTTGAATTTGCTGAGGACTCCCCCAGCTTTAGCGAAGTCCTGTATCCTGGGAGGCCCCTCAGTCCCAGGCAAACCGAGACAGTCTGAGGAATGCTATCCCACTCACCTCTGAGTCCCCAGGGTCTATCACAGGGTACCTACGTTACAAAATGGGTCATTCATAAGGGTTTATTGAACTGTAAAATCAGTACTGATTGTCTTTCTACCGTTTTCCTCATAAACATGCCTTCAAAGTTCAAAATAATCAGTCTTCTTCTTGCTGCGAAGTCACAGATGACTTTTCAAAACTGATCACTGAATAACTGAATACATTATTTTCAAAAAATGCACAGGCACTGGAAAGGATGCTTCCCCCGTTACATATCATCAGTGTAATAGAATTAGCCACCCTTTAGCAATCAAAGACCTGCTTGTCATGTTAACAGCTGGTGGGAATAGGAAGGGGGGTCCCATTTTCTTTGCTGTCTAGCGACAGGCAGGTTGAAGCCTGAAGGTCCCTAGTTCACGTCACAGCCTGAAGAGCAATCTTGTCGCAGTCAGAAATGTTGCCTTCACTGAATGTATCTGTCTACCCAGCTGTCAAAAATGACCAGAGCTCCCATTCCTAATATGCTTTGTCTAGCAACTGCTCCTCATACAAACAGGCTCAGATCTTTTTCCACAGCACAAATAGAGTGATGAGAAAGTCCCCCAAGCTGTCTCCTATGAAACAGACTCTGGACATGCTGGACTACATTATGAGGCAAGATCTTGTCTTTAGAATCAAGGTCTAGAAAGGAGAAGCTGACAGGCAGCCAGGCCAAGCTCCCTCAGGCAGAATAACAGCGGAGTTCCTAAGAGCATGGGCTTAAAAGTCAGAGTTCAAATCCTGCCTCCCCCATTTACCAGCTCTAGGATCTTGGACAAATCGCCTCATTTCCCTGGGCCTGTTTCTTATTTGTAAAGTGAGAATACAATAATAGTACTGATTTTCTCAAAGGGTTTTATTACATTTTGTCGTAGCCTGTGCAAACAAAGCCTGAGGCAAAGCCAACTGGGAATGTTCTACTGGGTACTGGGAGATACAACCTCAGGGCATCAAGAGGATGGAAAAGGGGACAGGAGTCAAGGATGGAGGGAAACAACTTCAGGTGGAAATGGAATTAGCAAGGCTTCACAGAAAAACCCACCTGGGTTTTCATAAGTGATTGCTTCCAAGAAGCCCTCAGATCAGTCCAAGGGAGAGGAATGAAGAGGAAATTACCTGCTGGCTGCTTCCAATCTCCTATCTCTCATTGGCCCAGCTTTTCCCATTTCCAGATCACGTCAGCCAGCCCTCAGGGTAGCCATGAGGGAAGGGGAGCCCCACTCCATGGGTCTGGCGGGGTCAAAGCTGCTGCAGCGAGTGTCCCAGCAATCGTGATGGAAGCCATGGCAGAAGCCGCCCTTCACTTGAGAAGGCTGTGGTGTTAGGAGGAAGCATGGCGGCAGCAGCTGAGGCT